AGGGGGGTGGGTGGAAGGGTGGGAGGAAGGAAGGAATGAAGAATGAAGGGGTGGATGGAAGGAAGAGAGGGGTGGGAGGAAGGAAGGTGTGGGTGGAAGGAAAGGAGGGAGGGGTGGGTTGAAGAAATGGAGGGAGGGGTGGGTGAAAGGAAGGAAGGGTGGGTTGAAAGAAGGAAGGGGTGGGGGGGAAGGAAGGAAGGAAGGAAGGAAGGAAGGAAGGAAGGAAGGGAAGGAGTGGAAGGAAGGGAGGGGTGGGTGGAAGGAAGGCAGAAAGAAAGAGAAGGTGGGTGGAAGGAAGGGAAGGAGGGGTGTGTGGAAACAAGGAAGGGAGGGGTGGAAGGAAGGAAGGGAGGGGTGGAAGGAAGGGGTGGGTGGGTGTAAAGCAGGAAGGAAAGGAGGGGTGGGTGGAAGGCAGGAAAGAAGGAAGGGGTGGGTGGGTGTAAGGAAGGGGTGGGTGGAAAACAGGGAAGGAAGGAGAGGTGGGCTGGGTGGAATGAAGGAAGAGAAGGGTGGAAGAAAGGGAGGGAGGGGTGGAAGGAATGAAGGAAAGAAGGGAGATGAGGGTGGAAGGAAGAGAGGGAGGGGTGGGATGAAGGAAGGAAGGGGTGGGTGGATGGAAGGGAGGGGTGGGTGGGTGGGTGGAAGGATGGAAAGAAAGAAAGGTGGGGTGGGTGGAAGGAGCCAAGTTGAAATATTGAGAGCTGCAGGGAAGGTTGGCAACTCTCCTCTGGTGGGGTTCAGACCCCCCTGACTCCCCCTTATCTATGCCCCTGCCCACCGCCACCCCTCCCACACACCCTTATTCTCATCATTGCTCACCCCTACCTTATTTCTACTCACAGGTGAGTTAAAATTTCGAGGGCTGCAGGGATGGTTGGCAACTCTCCTCTGGGGGGTTTCAGCCCCCCCTGACTTCACCATTGGCTCCCGTTGTTGTCAATCACAGCCAGTCAGCCAATGAGGAGAGAGAGGGGGCAAGGCCAAGCAAGTTGCTTGTTGTAGGGGCACTCAAAAGGAGAGAGGGGCCAGGAGAGCTGTGGGGAGATCCGAGGCAGGGGTGGACTGACCATTTGGAAACTTGGACACTGCCCGAGGGCCCGGGGTCAGTAGGGGGCCCCATGAGATGCCACTGGTACCTTTTTCATAGGCTTTTTTGGGTTTGGGCAAGGACACAGGGGCCCCATGATCACCTATTGCCCGGGGGGCCCATGAGTTGTCAGTCCGCCCCTGATCCAAGGAGAGGAGGATCAGGGCTGCTTTTCGCAAAACCACTGTAGATAAGTAGAGCATGTTTTTTTTTTCCCACAAAAAAACCTTAAGTACCGTAGTTTGTCACTGTAGTTTGTCTTTGGGTATCTATTTACTCGCCATAACATCCTCTATCATAGTTTACAAAAAATTGGGGTATATATTGTGTTTGTTTTTTTTTCAATTCACTAAAGTGTATTTTTTCCCCAAAAATTGTGTCTGAAAAACTGCTGCACAAATACTATGTGACATAAAAAATTGCAACAAACGCCATTTCATTCTCTAGGGTCTTTGCTTACAAAATATATTAACTGTTTGGGGGGTCATAAGTCATTTTCTAGCAAAATGACTGATTTAAACTTGTAAACAAAATTTCCCAGAAAATGCTTGGTCTTCAAGTGGCTAAAACGAAGCCTTCCAGCGGCGCACTGTCACCGGCTTCCATCTTTACCCAATCTCCCTTCCAGGTTGAAGGGCTGGGGGCACTGGAATGGCTGAGCCGTGATGTCATCACTCCGGTGTGTGCACACGGGAGTCATGGCCATGGCACAGCTCTCTCAATGGATGGCGTGCTGTACACTAAGAACGCAGTGCGCATTTGCGCCGGTGACATCACCAGCTGCAACTAAAGTAAAAATCTCCTGAATGGTGCATTTTTAGGAGATATTTACTGTACCTACAGGTAAGCCTCATTTTAAAATTTTAAATTACTAACACTTTAACCACTTGCCCTCCAGAGGATTTACCCCCCTTAATGACCACGCCTCTTTTTGCTACTCTGCGCTGCACTAATTCAACTGATAATTAAGCGGTCATGCAATGCTGCACCCCAATGAACTTTACGTCCTTTTTTTCACACAAGTAGAGCTTTCTTTCGGTGGTATTTGATCACCTGTGCGCTTTTTATTTTTCACGCTATTAACAAAAAAAGGCCAAAAATTTTGAAGAAAAACAATATTTTTTACTTTCAGCTATAAAAAAATATATAGTAAACTCAAAGTTGGTTATAAATTTAGGCCAAAATGTATTCTGCTCCATGTTTTTGGTAAAAAAAAATCCCAATAAGTGTATATTGATTGCTTATATTGAGAGTTTTGAGTTAATACACCTGCTATACCCATCATGAGGCATTCATACCATTCCTGTACTGAGTTACCAGGTCTGTACATCTGTTGTGTCCATTTTGAGGGGTTCCCGTCATCCCTGTTCTAAATTCCTGGATTTGCCCCAAGAGGGGGGTTGAAATAAAGTCAAAACCTGGAGATCTCACTACTGGACTCCCCAATTTGGGTTGATAGTCCCCTAAAAAGTTGAGGTTGACCAAGTTCTGCACAGTTGCTTATCACTATCGAGTAGTTCAGAAGTTTGACCCTTTCAATGAGATGATAATGAAGATAAAACACAAATCAATCATAGTATAAAATGGATGACACTTTATTATTCTTATGTGGTCATCTGCAGAGTGAATTCCACCTGGACACCAAGGGCTCAGCATGATGCTGTTCGTTGGTCATTGATGGTCCTGTGATGTGTCCCTCTCCACTGTAGCCTCATTGTTTGGATTCTACAGAATCACATGAAATAATCAAAAGACATAAAAGAGAAGTGTTAGCAACAAATGTGAATGTAATAAACCCTCAACATTTTAGAAGAGTTGTGCATCTTCCAATTTGACAGAGATCTAAAACTGTCAGCTTTAAAGTAGCTACGATACATATAGTATTTAATGTACTCATTCTCCTGTGCTGGTAATAACTGGGTAATGAAATATTTTTGAAGCTCAGGGGTGGGGACTGTACAGAAAAAACTACTTCTCCAGGGTGGGAACTTCCTATTTTTGTTCCTTTCTTACAACAAATTTAGCAACCCGTTAGCTATAATTCACTTTCAGAATTTGAGCTTTCCATTACCTCTTGTAGTGCCAGCAAGATAGGCATCACTGGACCCAGGAAATCAACACTCCTGAGAAGTATTGGTTTCCCAGAGGACATCTGGGGACCATTTCTCAGGATTGGAGTGGTGTTGAGCAGCATGGGTGACAGGAGAGGTGAAAATGTATACTCTTGTTTAACAGGTAGACATTTCCCTGAAAGGTTTACTATAGCAACATGGTCATTTTAGGTAACAACCTAAAGCAGGAAAGTCCCCAAGTAGTGGTTTATTCTGAAGGGACCCTGCCCCTGAGCTTTCTGATTTTTTTCCTGGTGCAGTTTTTACTGATGCTAAGCTCTCGGCAGTGCAGTTTCTCCCATGATTCATGAAGCTGTTGGACTTGGAGATTAAGGACCACTTGTCTGAGGTTGAGTCTTCCATCTCCTGGTGATATTACATCCTCTGGGCATTTCCCATTCTCAACTTGAGAAGCAGTGCAGCATTGTGGTGTGCCTGGTATCTCTATAGATTGATGCATGGCCTGCTATCCAATCCAATGCAATCCAAAATAATGCAGCTATGAATATTAATGATACTGCTGTAGAACTTTTAAGATGTTGCCCAAATTCTTTGGCTATTAAGGACAGATATTTACTTTCTGTACCACTAGGCCAACTATCCTGTACTACACCCACTCCTTCCTCAATTGACTGGACAGCCTTGGGTATCACACTGGCAAAATCAGAACATAGCCACACAAGGCACGCCAGGACTGAGGTCAGAGGGAATGTAAGAGGCACCTTGCCCGCCTTGTCAGTACTCCCACAACTGTAATCTAGAGGTATAATACAAGCTGTCACCAGTAATTTATTTTGATAGTTTATAAACTGACCTTATATCATTTTTTTCATGATGTATTTGAAATGTTTTGACAAATGTAACAAATACACATTTTGCTCATAGTGCTTTCATATGTGTTGTGTTTGCAGTCCATGCAAGGCTTTCCAGTAAAAGTCCAGCACTAGCTTTGAATGTGTTGATTTTTTCTTCAGCTGTGTGTGTTCTCTGATCTCCTGCTAATCTGGTCTATTCAGAGCATAATAACAAACCATCTTTCTAAAAACTCAGATTTTAAAGCAAAATTACCGTGCAGTTTCCCAAATATGTCAAAATTAGCTTAAAATTTAGCATTTGGGGGGAAAATACATTTAGGAAACCTTCCCATGTTCTGCAAAGATCTCTTGATATACTCTCCGGCCACTTTGTTAGATACACCTGTTCAATTGCTTGGTAACACAAATTGCTAATCAGCCAAGCAAATGGCAGCTATTCAATGCATGTGGGAATCTAGAAGTGGTGAAGACAACTTGCTGAAATTCAAATTAGGCAGCAGAATGGGAAGAAATGGGATTTAATTGACTTTGAATGTGGCAAGGTTGGTGCCAGACGGGCTGGTCTGAGTATTCCAAAACTGCTGATCTACTGGGATTTTTACACACAACCATCTCTAGGGTTTACAGAGAATGGGCCAAAAAAACAGAAAATATCAAGTGAGTGGCAGTTGCGTGGATGAAAATGCCTTATTGATGTCAGAGGGAGAATGGGAAGACTGGATCGAGATGATAGAAAGGCAAAAGTAACTCATGTCAATATGGACCAAAATCTCTGAGGAATGTTTCTGACACCTTGTTGAAACTATGCCACAAAGAATGAAGGCAGTTCTGAAGGCAAAAGGGGGACCAAACTGGTATTAGCAAGGTGGACCAAATAAAGTGGCTGATGAGTGTATTTGTACCTCATATATTTTGTTGATATTAAAGATTTTTTTTTTCCATAAAAAAAAAAAATGTAATACAACATTGTATAAATAATATTATAATATTATTTATATAAAGTATTGGGCCAACCCTCAAAATCATGTGATTCAGGTGTTCCAATCCCCTCCACGGTCACAGGTGTATGAAATCAAGCCCCTAGGCATGCAGACTGCTTCTACAAACATTGGTGAAAGAATTGGTCGCTCTCAGGAGCTCAGTGACTCCAAGCGTGGTCCCGTGATAGGTTGTCACCTGTGCAACAAGTCCATCCGTGACATTTCCTGGCTACTAAATATTCCACGCTCAACTGTTAGTGGGATTATAACAAAGTGGAAGCAACTGGGAACAACAGCAACTCAGGCCACGTCACATGACAGAGCGGGGTCAGCGCATGCTGAAGTGCACAGTGCGCAGAAGTCGCCAACTGTCTGCAGAGTCAATAGCTAAAGACCTCCAAACTTGGTGTGGCCTTCAGATTAGCACAACAACAGTGCGTAGAGAGCTTCATGGAATGGGTTTCCATGGCCGAGCAGCTGCATCCAAGCCTTACATCACCAAGTGCAATGCAAAGCGGCGGATGCCATGGTGTAAAGCACGCCGTCACTGGACTCTAGTGGCAGTGGAGACATGTTTTCTGGAGTGACCAATCATGCTTCTCTGTCTGGAAATCTGATGGATGTGTCTGGGTTTGGATTTTGCCAGGAGGCCGGGTCTATTTTGGGTACCTGCTCCCCAAAGGTGCCAATCCATAATGGGGAGCAGGGGACCAGTCTTTAAAGCAGAACTTCCCCTTTTGGGTGGAGCTCCGCTTTACTGATATTTAATGAAAGGTTAGGGCTGTGCTATGTGTCTATGAATTCAGTCTATTGGACATCAGTACAATTGTATATATTTTCCAGTGGCGGGTCTAGTTTTAAAAAAGTGTTTTGGTTGTATTAGTGTTCCTCAATGTCCAACATCATGTTCCCTTTTTATGAGCAAACAAATTTTGTTGTACAAGAACAGGTCCAGGATAGAACAAAGGATCCTCCAGAACCCTCAGGAGTTATTTAACCACTTGAGCTCCTGAGGATTTACCCCCTTAATGACCACGCCTCTTTTTGCTACTCGGCGCTGCACTAATTCAACTGATAATTGCGCGGTCAATGCTGCACCCAAACAAAATTTACGTCCTTTTTTTCACACAAATAGAACTTTCTTTCGGTGTAATTTGATCACCCACGCGCTTTTTATTTTTTTGCGCTATAAACAAAAAAAGGCCAAAAATTTCGAAGAAAAACAATATTTTTTACTTTCAGCTATAAAAAAAATATATAGTAACTCAAAGTTGGTTATAAATTTAGGCCAAAATGTATTCTGCTCCATGTTTTTGGTAAAAAAAATCCCAATAAGTGTATATTGATTGCTTTGTGTGAAAGTTATAGCGTCTACAAACTATGGTATAAATACTGCAATTTACGCCATTTTTCTGCTATACAGCACTGCGCTTGTTTAACGGACAATTGCGCGGTCATGCAATACGGTACATAAATAAAATTTACATATTTTTTTCCCCACAAATTGAGCTTTCTTTCTGTGGTGTTTGATTGCCTGTGCGGTTTTTATTTTTTGCGCTATAAAACAAAAGGCTGACAATTTTGAGGAAAAAAAAACAATATTTTGGACTTTTTGCTATAAAACATGTCCAGTAAAAAAAAAATGCAAAAATCAAATTTAGTCATATATTTCTGCCAAAATGCATTCTGCGACATGTCTTTGCTAAAAAAACCCAATACGTGTAAATTAATTGGTTTACGTGAAAGTTATAGCGTTTAAAAATGGCAGGAAAGATACTGGGATTTTAAATTTTTATTTATACTAATAATGGCGCCGATCAGCGACTTATGGTGGCAATCAGCGACATATGATGGCGACCAGCGACTTATGGTGGGACTGCGGCGGACATTTTGACACTGGGGGGGGAACTGACTTGGGGTCACTGACATCCCCAGTGACACCAATACAGTGATCAGTGAAAAAAACCCACTGAAACTGTACTAATGTCACTGGGGAGGAAGGGGTTAACATTTTTAGAATTTGCTGTGTAAGGGGAGTGTTTTACTAGGGGGCGGGGGTGTATACTGGACGGGGGGAGGGAGGGGGGAGAGCTGATCGGCGAACTGTCACAGAGCAGGCTGTGTGTAAACAATGCAGCCCTGCTCTGTGTTAGTGATCACCGCTCATCGCGGGAAAACGGCCGGTAAAAATCGGCCGTGACCCGACGGAGGAGACCCGCTGCTGACACCCGCGGGACAGGTAGGGCGGGCGCTCGCCTCGCGCGCGCCCCCTACCTGTTTTGAAGGCAGACGTTTTAAAACGTGCTTTTTGCCTACGAGCGCCGCCCTGCCACCGTTTATATGCGGTGGCTGGGCGGCAAGTGGTTAAAGCCCATTAGACCCTTAAAAACTACTGTTCTCCCCCTCCCTCTTTACCTCCCCAAATTACTTAAAATTATATTCTACATTATGGCGAAACTTCAATTAAAAGTCCCAGTTTTTGCTGAAATGTCACATTCGGGAACTGCCAGCTTTGGACATTTCTGTTTATTACTAAAGAGGTTAATAAATGATGGAAATCTCTGGGTCCACTTACCTTCGGGGTCATCACATTTCATCGTACAATGAACATTGCAGCACTTCTTCTTGTCTGGACAGTTGGCGTCCCCTTGGCACTCTTCTTTTACTGAGAAGCACGGTGCGAAGGTTTCATAAAATTTACATTTTCCTTCTTTATCTGTACACAAAGGAAAGGTTTTGATGTTCATCACTTTCCTCCACCAGTGATATATGGGTACATTGTATATAACAGTCAAGTCGTTTGAGATTTGAGCACTTGTGTAGACGATTTCCCTTTTATTTATTCCCTTTAGATGGAACCAAATAATCACCTGAACATGATGTGCTATTAACTTCACTGCATGTAAAACCTCCTGCAACTCATCATAAACTATACGGCCCAAAGCTTGAGGATACCTGACCATCACACCTATATTCTGGTTATCACTCATCCTAAATATTAAGACTCCCTCCTCATTGGCCTACTTCTACACAGACTATCCCCCCTTCAGTCTATGATGAATGCTGCTACCAGACTCATCCACCTTACCAACTGCTCAGTGTACTCCACCCCTCTCTACCAATCCCTCCACTGGCTTCCATCCAGTGTGTAGGCATGTGCAGTCTCTTTATCCTCCTGCAGGTGGCGCTCAAACCACAGCAGCATTTGCAGAGGGAGAGGAAGTCAGGAGGAATTTACTCTTCTATGGTTTCTTGGGTCACTGGGAAGAGATCTGGTTGGATGTTGCTGTCTCATGTGACTCTGAAGACCATCTTGAGTCTATTTAAAGTGATACTGAACCCACAGCAATAAAATCAGTCTGTATATGCAGTAAAGCATGCTTGTTATCAGGGGTGGACTGACAACTCATAGGGCCCCCAGGCAATAAGGGATCATGGGGCCCCTATGTCCTTGCCCAAACTCAAAAAAGCCTATGAAAAAGGTACCAGGGGAATCTCATGGGGCCCCCTACTGACTCCGGGTTCTCGGGCAGTGCCCAAGTATCCAAATGGTCAGTCCGCCTCTGCTTGTTATACTCACTGTGGAACCTAAGGGGTTAATCCTCTGCATTGTGTAAAAAGGCCGTTTGATCCTGACTTCTCTGTTCCTCCCCTTTTTCAAGCGACCTGCACTTATCTCCAAACTGAACCATAGGCATGCACATGCTCAGTTTGGTGTGTATTGCTAGAGAGGTTTTTTTTTTTTTCCTTGGGGAGAGTGCATGTGATAAGCACAAGGCCAATCAGTGCTGTCCAAACAGAGGACAGGGGTTTTGCATCCTCCTAGAGCAGAAAGAAAACTCCTCCTACAAGCTTTAGCTAGTGCTTTGCTGGACACTGATAGAATCCACAAGACTGCTCTATACTGCTGATGAGAAAAGCTATTTAGCAGTTTTCTATTTACTAACATTGCATTTCCATGTTCTGTGTACTGTGGGAGACCAGATATAGTGAATGCAGGGTCCGGGGAGACCGGATATAGTGAATGCAGGGTCCGGGGAGACCGGATATAGTGAATGCAGGGTCCGGGGAGACCGGATATAGTGAATGCGGGGTCCAGGGAGACCCAGGATATAGTGAATGCAGGGTCCGGAATGCAGGGCGAGAATGGATACAGTAAATGCAGGGTCCGGGGAGACCAGATATAGTGAATGCAGGGTCCGAAGAGACCGGATATAGTGAATGCAGGGTCCGGGGAGACCAGATATAGTGAATGCAGGGTCCGGGGAGACCGGATATAGTGAATGCAGGGTCCGGGGACAGTGGATATAGTGAATGCAGGGTCCGGGGAGACCAGATATAGTGAATGCAGGGTCCGGGGAGACCGGATATAGTGAAGCGGATATAGCAGGGTCCTGGGAGACCAGATATAGTGAATGCAGGGTCCTGGGTTTAGTAACCCTGGAGAGCATTTTGTGAGTGGTCAGTGTAGGGACAGGTTACTATTATGAGCCTTGCTTAACCACTTGCCCTCCAGAGGATTTACCCCCCTTCCTGACCAGGCCGTACGGCACTGTGTTACTTTAACTGACAATTGCGCGGTCATGCAATGCTGTACCCAAATTAAATTTATGTCCTTTTTTTCCCACGAATAGAGCTTTTTTTTGGTGGTATTTGATCACCTCTGCTGCTTTTATTTTTTGCGCTATAAGCAAAAAAAGACCGACAATTATGAAAAAAATATATATTTTTCACTTTTTGCTCTATAAAACATATCCACTAAAAAAATTTTTTAAATAAAATTTTGTCAAAATGTCGGCCAAAATGTATTCTGCTCCATGTCTTGGCAGAAAAAATCCCAATACGTGTAAATTAATTGGTTTATGTGAAAGTTATAGTGTTTACATATATACTGGAATTATTTTTTTTTTTTACTAGTAATGGCAACGATCAGCGACATATAGCGGGACTGCGGTTGGCATTCTGACACTTGGGGGGAACTGACTTGGTGTCACTGACATCCCCAGTGACACCAATACAGTGATCAGTGCTAATAAAAAGCACTGACACTGTACTAATGACACTGGGCAGGAAGGGGTTAACATGTGGGGTGATCAAAGGGTTAACTGGGTTAACTGTGTGGGTGTGTGTGTGTTTTTTAAGTGTGGGCAGTGTGAGAGCCATACAAAGCAGTATGCAGGAGCTGACATGGGAGAGATCTGTATTGTTTACATACAGGTCTCCCCCCTGTCAGAAATCCTCGGAGATCACTGGGTGGGGTGGGGAATCAGACCGGGACCTGGTGATTGACAGCCGAAGCCGCAAATGGCAAAATCATGTATGTGTAGATATACAGTATATATATATGTGATTTTGCACACCCGTGCCGCCCTGTAGCAGTATTTCTGCTATATGGCGGCGCGGAAGTGGTTAATCTAACATTACTAACATATATGAATGTGTTGGATTGTAATAGAATCATTGAGTTGTTATATTTCTACTTGTTCTAAATTGGGAAAAACAGACTTTTCTAGTCTATGTGACTATATACTGTATATATATATTGTTTTCTGTACAGTCTAGCAACCTGTGGTAGTAATTAGACATGAATTGACTAGCTTTCCTCCCCCATCTCTGTTTGTGACAAGGATAAAATTTCACTATGACGTGTGCAAGAATCTATTTCATATAAGTTAAGTATACTGTAATATTTCTTAATTAGGATATTTATATAAGAGATAACTTTACATTAATTAATTGACATATCAACTTTAAAGGAATGTCAGCTTAGTTCTGACTAGGGGCCTCTTCTCCAAGAGGGTTTTGAATGACTTGATTTTCATATGTGCAGAGAACTACTATACCCCATCTCTGTGAGGGAAGGGGGCATGGAGAGTCTTGAAGCTGCTTGAATCAGCAGAACAAAGAACTTTTAGGCAGGCTTATGTGAGACTACGAGTGGGGCAGACATGTCCACAGCTACACACATGAATATACTCACAAGTTTTATCTCAAGAATATAACTGCATTTTTTTACATTATATTACTTTCTGTATTATAATATTTTACTTGTAATTTTCTGCAATTATATTATTAAATCCATTCTGAGTTTTTACATAAAAGCTGGAAGGACTTTCTATTTTGCACTTCTCACCAATATATGTTTTCAGAATATCGAGATAATTTGATATTTAACAGTCACCTGTCTGTCGGGGTAAGTGAGTAATGGTAGGTAAGGGTTCCAGGTGAGTAGGGATAGGACAAGGACACAGTATCCTCTCAAAAATCCTCCCCAATTGGGCATGAAATCACCAGGACGCATTCCACCTTATTTACAACTTACTCATTACGGATTATTGCTGCCGAACCATGCTGCACCCACCAAGTGTCCTCCACCTATCTCTACCAATCCATCTACTGGCCTCCACTCAATGTCCTCCATGCATCTCTACCAATTCATCCACTAACTTCTGTTTAGTGTCCTCCACCCCTCTCTACCGATACTTTTGCTGGCTTCTGTGTTCTCCATCCCCTCTCAGTGTTCTGTTCATGTTCTCCATCCCTCTCTACCGATACTTTTGCTGGCTTCTGTTCAGTGTTCTCCATCCCTCTCTACCAATCCTTCCACCTCCACTGGTTTCTGCTGATTGTCTTTCATCTCTCTCTGCCAATCCCTTCACTGGCTTCCACCCAGTGTCCTCCACCCTCTCTGCCTTTCCTTCCACGTAGCTGGAGCAGCGGCTGAGGCTAGCACCACTATCCTTACTGGGGAGGTTGATGCAGTGTCTGTCCTTTCTCTTTCATTGTTCTGCCTGGAGCTACATTACCTACAGATACATTGAAATAGGAAAAAATGGTTGGATTTTTTTAAAAAAGGGATTGGATTCTACTGAAGATTTAATCATGGTAGTATCAATCCCTTGACGGTATGCTTTTCTCCTTCCTGGCCTGCCAGGCTGCATGATAAGGGTCTGATAAAAATTTTGGTGGGACTCCATTTGTTTTTTTGTTTTTTATGTGAGGTTCATCCCTAAAATCCATAACAAACAGTAAGGATCTGGTGTGAAATTTGGGGGGTACCCAACACCTTTTTTAATATTTTTAAAGGGCTCCACATAAGATCCGTATCAGACCTAAGGGGCAGTTATGAAATTTGAGGAGTCACAACATTTTTTGATGGGATTGCTCTTAAAATACGGACCTCCAACCTCTGTCCAATGCCCTCCACCGACCTTCACTCATTGTCCTTCACCCCTTCCTACCTCCACTGGTTTTTGGGTTGCCCAACAAATGAAATAAAAAAATAACAAGCACATTCAAAGCCATCATGACTCTCCCCTGTCCTCTCGAAATATCACCTAAACCATCCTCTCTGCTCCTCCCAAGACCTCCTGTTCTCTAACTCCCTCATCTCCCATTGTATTGTAACTGCTCTGTCACCCTTTATATTGTAAAGGGCTGCACACACTATTGGCTCTATATAAATCCTGAATAATAATTATAATAATAATAGTAATAATATATTTGAATTTGTTGGTACCTGGCAGGGGCTTTTGGCAACTGTTTCCACATATTTTGCAGCATTTCTGATCCTGAACACAATCCTCATCACGTTTACATGGATTGGTATTAGATGCACATCCTTTTTTTCCCCTTTGGGCAGCTTCCACTTTTTGCTGTAAAGAAGACAGAAATGGGCAGTCAGTGACATTCTCTGGCTGAACATGTTACTATCTGAATGCAGTAGGGATTGTATGAGGACACAAATAGGACATCTGCAATTGTGGAAAGAGGTTCCGCTGCTCATACACACCGATCCTTTAAGTTTTTATGTGGAAGTCTATATACCATCCGAAAACAGGAAGAGGTTGTAGGAAACGGTTGAACAAATCAAATTAAGCAGTCTGCAGAGTCTACCTTAAGCTGGCCATACATGTGGCAACTTTCAGTAAGCTTTTCCACCATTTTTGATTGGCTGGCAATCAAACATATGATCAGAAGAGGTTATCTAAAACCAACCACCCTACCACCCTTAAGTTTGATCCATCAATACAAACATCTTCAACACAAGTTATTAATAATTCTATTAAAAACAAGAAAAATTTAATTGTAATTTTGTGATTGTAATTTTGTTAAAAATGGTAGTATCAATCCCTTGTGGGCACACTTGTTCCTTTCCTGGCCTGCCAGGCTTCATGATAATGGTCTGGTAAGGATTTTGGTTGGGCCCCATGCTTTTTTTCTGGGTTTTATATGGGGTTCCTCCCTAAAATCCATACCAGACAGGAGGGGTAAGGGATTGAATTTTGGGGGTACCCCACGCCATTTTTAAAATGTTTTCATGGGATGCCCCTTAAAATCCATATCAGACCTGAAGAGTCATTTTTTTAGGGTTCCACTTAAGATCCCTATCAGACTTAAGGGTTCGTTATGAAATTTGGAGGGACCCCACACCATTTTTTTTATGGGATTCCACTTAAAATTTATACCAGACCTGAAGGGCCTAGTATTCAATTTAGGGACCTCATGGCATTTTTTTTCTTGCTTTTTTAATAGGTTTCAAACTCTTTGAAAACAATGATATCTCAGTCATCACTATGACCAAGATATCACCCCCCCATCCAAGGACATGCATTTAAAATATTTGCATATTTTTAACAATCATTAAAAGAGCTTTAAAACAGGCCATGACTGACCTCTGTAGCTGCTTGTACTGTGAAGCTTGTACTTCTTAAAAACCTTCACAGATTAAAACACAGACTCTAAGCCCTGAATCACAGGAGTCTCCTGTGTTTGTTTAATTAAATGCAGGACAAAATGATCCAGGAACAGTGGGAAGTACAAACAAACTTATATTTCCCAAATCACTTTCTTCTCCATTTAACCCTTTCATGGCCAACCCTGGCTTCCCTTTAACAGGGTCTTTACAAACAGCAGTCAATCACATGACCACTGTGAGGTCCCCCAGGAAATCCATTCCAGACTCTTGTGTTCAGACTGAACCTTGAGCTCATCCCTAGTCACAATAGTCAAATTGCTCAACAGTGGGGCAACTTCTTGGTATGTGGTTAGGAGCACCTAGTGCAAACTTTTCATTTAAATTGTTTATTTCCTGCAGTAGCTTCTCCAAGCAGTGGGCAGGCTCTTGCATAGTCTGGATGAAAAAAGACAAAAATCAATCAGTTCAACCATTGAAAAAAAAAATATATAATCATATACCCACAGTTGATCCAGAGGAAGGCAAAAAACCCCCAGCAAAGCACGATCCAATTTGCTCCTGCAGGGAAAAATATTCCTTCCTGATCCCCTGAGAAGCAATCGGATATTCTCTGGATCAACTTTACCTATAAATGTTATATCCAGTTATATTCTGTGTATCTAAGAAAGAATCCAGGACTTTTTTTAAGCAATCCACTGAGCTGGCCAGAACCAACTCTTGAGGGAGTCTATTCCACATTTTCACAGCTCTCACTGTGAAGAAACCTTTCCGTGTTTGGAGATTAAATTTCTTTTCCTCCAGATGTAAAGTGTGCCCCCTTGTCCTCTGATGACCTCAGGTGAATTGCTCTACACCGAGTTCACTATATGAACCACTTTTATTTGTTTATTTGTTAGGAACGTGCACATTCCCAAAGTGTTTCGAGCTTGATCCAATTGGATGGTCACATTACCGAAAGGACGCGCTAGCCAAAATCCACACTCAATTCATTTCATCCCGATAATATATATATATCTTTGTTCAAGACCTGAAGGAGGGGGAGCCCTTTGCCCCTGAAATGCTTTGACTGTATCTGGTGTTCCTAACAAATATAAATTAAAATAAATTTCAAAACAGATGAAAGTTTGTACTAACTGCCCCATACACACATACCTAGAACTCAACAAATAAAGCTCAGAGGTTGGCCAAGGCTGGGGAGCACATTTCTAAAGAAAATGTACCAATCTCCTCTCCATCACTGAACTACTTACTTGCCAATGCTACCTGCACCAGGATGATCCCCAGGAAGACGGAGAGGAGTCCAACTGTGGATGGTCTCATGGCTGCTAACCAGAGTGAATATCTGTGTTGTAGATCCATCACTTGAATTTATATCAGAAACTCTGAAGGGAAGAAAGTGGTAGGACAGGAATGAGAACCGGTTTTGTTTCTCAATACTCTGCAATATTCTTCTATAGGGAGTAGGGCATTTGCTATTACATAATATTAATAGTTTCCAATAAGCAGCAGTCACATCAGCTCTTTTATATCACGCATCATGACTGTCCTTGCTCAGGCCAAAAATAATTGGCAGGTTGGTGTTGGTACATTGGGTGGAAATACTTTTATTACTACACACATTCACCGCATTCCTGGTCTCACCCATGATTAAATCTAAAGATGGCATCACTCAGTCCTGGAACAAGGTCCTGCTGTACCCAAGATGAAGATGCCAAAATCTATACTTGGGATTATGAAATATCTCATCCAAAGTGACATTTTATTCTGTGATTTGTACCTTTCTATAATCATATTTGTCTCTGGAACAATTTTTTTAATGCAGTTTGGCAAAACAAACAAATGCAATCTTATTGGAGTTTACAGATAACCAGTGAAAGAAATTAAAAGAAAGCAAAAAAAAAAAAAAAAATAATATATATATATATATATATATATAAATTTACATAGAAACATGATGGTATGTGTCAGCACCTGTGGTAGTGAGCCCTTGTAGATAGTCAACTTGGGGTTCCCCAGGTCGTGGAGTCTAAGCCCCAGCCTGCTTCTTCATCAAAGCCCCCAATGGTATGGATGGACTTGCAGCAAGCTGGAACCAGGTTGCAGCCCCCAGGTATGCCCAGCTGAGGATGAGAAGACCGCTCGCAGGAGCAGAGTATAATGGGGAGAGACAAACGGAAATCCAATAGACTAGCCGAGTTCTGGAAGGGCAGAAAACTAGCACAGTCAAGAGAACGAAGTCGGGGTCGGTACACGAGTAGTCAATGCAGGATACAGGAGATAGCAACACACAGGAGCTCAGAAAACTAGGAAGTTGCTCAGGCAAAGTGGCCTAGACTGAGCATGTCTTGTATAGACAAACAAACAAGGAGGTGGGCCAGGAAGTTATGGAAGGGAAGGAAATAAAACCCAGAGAACAGCAGACGAAGCCCATAGGTGAGCACAGACAAACCACACATGTGAAAGGGATCAGGAACAGCACTGCAGCAAGGAGGTGAGAATACACAAACAGGAAACTGCAGGCTAACTTGTGTCAGTACGTGGTGCTATGTTCAAGTCAAAGAGGGACTTTTAATTTTACAGGTATAAAAAAGGATGCTAGTGTGGTGGTTCTACACGCAGTAGTGAGCGTCAAGTATGTCCTATTACTGATACCATGTCTCAGGCCAGTCCGGAGACCATTAATCAAGATGACAGACAAGTGTTAGTGCGTGCATGGAACAGCGTGTGGTGATGAAGTGTCTTGTGAACGAAAGCCATAAAACCAGCAGATATCTACAGAAGACTTCAAGCACAGTACGGTGATGACACACTCAGCTGCATAAGACATTTGAATGGTGTAAACATTTCAAAGATGGCCGTATGTCCATCAGCGAGGATCCCAGACATGGTGGTTCTCAGCCCACAGCGGTCATTCCTGAGAACATTCAGCGTGTGGAACGCCTGATCCTGGATCATCGATACATAACCTGTCATGAAATTGCACAAGAAACAAATCTTTCTGTGGGAACAGTGAACACAATCATTTATGAACGTTTGCATTTTTGACAAGTTAGCACACGCTGGGTACCAATACAGCTTTTTCGTTTTTGACTGGCACAGAAGAGTTGAAGTCTGTTGAAGGGGCGTCTTGTCAGGGAAGGCCAGGATTTGATCATTAACCTCCTCCTGCCTGCCATATAAGGTAATGATGGGTGCAAGGTGGTTCTCTCATTCTGGGAGGACATCATATGACGTCCTCCCACTCTAACCGCACATGCGTGCCAATCGGTGGTGCGCTGTATCCCTCGGACACAGCGGATCACTGATCAATGGAAAGAGCTGATGACATCGGCTCTGTCATGTGATCAGCTGTGTCCAATCACAGCTGATCGCATGTAAATAAGGATATGCCAGTTATCGGCATTCCTCTCCTCACTAGCTGTCACGCTGACAGCTCATGAGGAGTGGAGAGCCAGTAATCGGCATTCTTTGGAGGGGACATCTACACTGATCATCAGGGCACTGATGATCAGTGTGTCCTGATGATCAGTGTAGCCCCATCAGTGCCACCTGTCACTGTCCATCAATGCCACCTGTCAGTGCCCATCAGTGCACATCAATGCCACGTATCAGTGCCCATTTAAGCTGCCTTTCAGTGCCACCTATTAGTGCCAGTCAGTGCCTCCTATTAGTGCCAGTCAGTGCCATATATTAGTGCCACCAATCAGTGCCAGTCATTGTTGCCTATCAGTGCACATCAGTGCCGCCTATCAGTGCACATCAGTGCCACCTATCAGTTCCAGTCAGTCAGTGCAACCATCAGTGCCAGTCAGTGCCACATAACAGTGCCAGTCAGTGCTGCCTATCAGTGCCAGTCAGTGCCACCTATCAGTGCTGCGTTTCGGTGCCCATCAGTGACTCCTGTCAATGCCCATCAGTGGCACCTACCAGTGCCTCCTCATCAGTGCCCATCAGTGCAGCCTATCAGTGCCCATCAGTGCAGCTTCATTAGCACACATCAGTGAAAGACAGTGCCACCTAACAGTGCCACCTATCAGTGCTGCCAATCAGTGCCGCCTATCAGTGCCACTCAGTGTTGCCTATCAGTGCCACCTAACAGTGCCAGACAGTGCCACCTAACAGTGCTAATCAGTGCAGCCTATCAGTGGCCATCACTGCAGCTTCATTAGCACACATCAGCGAAAGACAGTGCCACATATCAGTGCTGCCAATCAGTGCCACCTATCAGTGCAATCATCAGTGCCGCCTATAAGTGCCACCTAACAGTGCCAGTCAGTGCTGCCTATCCTTTATCCTTTAAATTGCATTAGGTGTTATTATTTGACAGGATTAATTTAACCACTTGCCCTCCAAAGAATTTGCCCCCCTTCTGACCAGGCCATTTTTTGCAATACGGCGCTGCGTTACTTTAACTGATAATTGCACGGTCATGCAACGCTGCACCTAATTGAAATTTGCATCCTTTTTTTCCCCACAAATAGAAAATAGAGATTCTTTTGGTGGTATTTGATCCCCTGTGCATTTTTATTTTTTTGTGCAATAATCAACAAAAAGACCGACAATTTTGAAAAAAAAAAAAATCAATATTTCTTGCTATGAAACATACACAGTAAAAAAATTTTAAAACATCAAATTTTGTAAATTTAGGCAAAAAATTATTCTGCTCCATGTCTTTGCTAAAAAATCCCAATCTGGGTAAATTAATTGGTTTACGTGAAAGTTATAACATTTACAAATGGCGGTATATATACTAGAATTTTTTTTTTCTTACTGGTAATGGCCATGACCAGTGACTTATAGCGGGACTGTGGCTGGCATTCTGACACTGGTGGAAAAATGACTTGGTGTCACTGACATCCCCAGTGACACCAATACAGTGATCAGTGCTAATAAAAAAGCACTGACACTGTACACACAGGGCAGGAAGGGGTTACTATCTGGGGTGATCAAAGGGTTAACTGTGTGCTGTCTGTGTTTTTACTATGCAGACTATGTGTGTGTTTCACTATAAGCACACTGCTTTGTATGGCTCTGCTATGCAGAGCCATACAAAGCAGTGTGCAAGAGCTAACAGGGGAGAGATCTGTATTGGGACCCGATGATTGACAGCCGAGGCTGTGAATGGTGGCGTAACAGCGAGTGTGTGCCTGATACCTGGAACTGCAAAATCATACATATATATATATATATATATATATATACAGTGGGGATCGAAAGTTTGGGCACCCCAGCTAAAAATTTGTATTAATGTGCATAAAGAAGCCAAGGAAAGATGGAAAAATCTCCAAAAGGCATCAAATTACAGATTAGTCATTCTTATAATTTGTCAACAAAAGTTAGATTTTATTTCCATCATTTACACTTTCAAAATAACAGAAAACAAAAAAATGGCGTCTGCAAAAGTTTGGGTACCCCGCAGAGTTAATATCTTGTACTGCCCCCTTTGGCAAGTATCACAGCTTGTAAACACTTTTTGTAGCCAGCCAAGAGTCTTTCAATTCTTGTTTGAGGTATCTTTGCCCATTCTTCCTTACAAAAGTCTTCCAGTTCTTTGAGATTTCTGGGCTGTCTGTCACGCACTGCTCTTTTAAGGTCTATCCACAGATTTTCAATTATGTTGAGGTCAGGAGATTGTGAAGGCCATGGCAAAACCTTCAGTTTACGCCTCTTGATGTAATCCCCCCGTGGATTTCGAGGTGTGTTTAGGATCATTATCCATTTGTAGAAGCCATCCTCTCTTTAACTTCAGCTTTTTCACAGATGGCATCAAGTTACCATCCAAAATTTGCTGAAATTTTATTGAATCCATTTTTCCTTCTACTCGTGAGATGTTCCCTGTGCCACTGGCTGCAACACAACCCCAAAGCATGATTGATCCAACCCCATGCTTAACAGTTGGACAGAGGTTCTTTTCATTAAATTCTGTGCCCCTTCTTCTCCAAACGTACCTTTGCTCATTCCGGCCAAAAAGTTCAATTTTAACCTCATCGGTCCACAGAACTTGTTTCCAAAATGCATCAGGCTTGTCTATATGTTCATTTGCAAAGTTCAAACGATGATTTTTGTGGTGAGGACGTAGAAGAGGTTTTCTTCTGATGACTCTTCCATGAAGACCATATTTGTACAAGTATCTCTTTATAGTGGAATAGTGACCACAACTCCAGTGTCTGCCAGATCTTTCTGGAAGGATCGTGCAGTCAAACGTGGGTTTTGAATTGTTTTTCTCACAATCCTGCGAGCTGTTCTGTCTGATATTTTTCTTGGTCTTCCAGATCTTGCTTTAACTTCCACTGTTCCTGATGACTGCCATTTCTTAATTACATTCCGAACAGAGGATATTGACATCTGAAAACACTTTGCAATCTTCTTATAGCCTTCTCCAGCTTTGTGAGCGTCAACTATTTTCAGTTTCAGTTTTCTAGATAACTGCTTAGAAGAACCCATGGTGCTGATTGTTGGGGCAAGGTCAGATGAGTCTGGGCATTTAAAACCTTTGAGATTGATATCACCTGGTCTTCCCAGACGATGATTGAGAACAATCCATGACACTGGCAGGTCTCAGCTTGGCAAAGGGGGCAGTGCATGCTATAAATTCTGCAGGGTGCCCAAACTTTTGCAGACGCCATTTTTTTTGTTTTCTGTTATTTTGAAAGTGTAAATGATGGAAATAAAATCTAACTTTTGTTGACATATTATAAGAATGTCTAATCTGTAATTTGATGCCTTTTGGAGATTTTTCCATCTTTCCTTGGCTTCTTTATGCACATTAATACAAATTTTTAGCTGGGGTGCCCAAACTTTCGATCCCCGCTGTATATATATATATATATATATGTGATTTTGCACACCTGTGCCACCATGTAGCAGTATTTCTGCTATAGGGCAGCACCGAAGCAGTTAATCAAAAATGTCAATTGTATAATTATTATTATTTCATGAAGTGAATACTTGCTTACTTGGATAATTTTGGTTTTATATTTTATTTCCATATACATACAGTATATATTTTATCTGTATTAATGGGTTTTAACAATTGATACATATTGGTATGTATTATGGATATTATGTTTTCAACATTTTAAAGATTTATTTTGAGTTCATATATTACAATGTCTGTATACTACAGAAAGTATTAGGTAATTAGGAAGTCTCAATACAAATGACCTCAACAAATGTCTGTAAGATGTACAGTTGTGTTCAAAATAATATCCGTCAGACATCACTAACCGGATCAATCACTGTTTTTGGTAGAAATGATATTTCTACATGGCAAATAATTTCCTAGCAGGTGTAGTAGAGTAATAGAAATCCAACAGACCCAACAGTCATGACATGCATGCTGCTGATTCTGTGTCATTGAATCACTCATTGAAAGGGGCATGTTCAAAATAATAGCAGTGTGGAGTTCTATTAGTGAGGTCATTGATTCTTTGAAAAACAGGTGGCAATTATTGCCCTTATTTAAGGAAGGAAGGCAGCAAATGTTGTACATGCTGGTTACAGTGCATTTCTCTCTGAAATTCTGAGGAAATATGGGTCGTTCCAGACATTGTTCAGAAGAACAGCGTACCTTGATTAAAAAGTTGATTGGAGAGGGGAAAACATATAAAGAAGTCAGAAAATGATCGGCTGCTCAGCTAAAATGATCGCAAATGCTTTAAAATGGCAACCAAAACCTGAAAGACGTGGAAGAAAGTGAAAAACTACCATTGGAATGGATAGAAGAATAGCCAAAATGGCGCGGACTCAGCCAACAATCAGCTCCAGGAAGATGAAAGAAGGTGTGACGTTCCCTGTGAGGAGGACTGTTACAATTAGAAGACGCCTATGTGAAGCCAAGCTATCTGCAAGAAGTCCCCGCAAAGTCCCACTGTTGGAAAAAAAGACATGTGCTGAAGAGGGTTACAATTTGCCAAAGAGCACATTGACTGGCCTAAAGAGAAAAAGGCGCAACATTTTGTGGACTGATGAAAGTAAGATTGTTCTTTTTGGGTCTAGTGGCCGGAGACAGTTTGTCAGACGACCCCCAAACACTGAATTCAAGCCACAGCACACTGTGAAGACCGTGAAGCATGGTGTGCAAGCATCATGATATGGGGATGTTTCTTCTCATACTACGGTGTTGGGCCTATTTATCGCATACCAGGGATCATGGATCAGTTTGAATACATCAGAATACTTGAAGAGGTCATGCTGCCTTATGCTGAAGAGGAAATGCCCTTGAAATGGGTGTTCCAACAAGACAACGACCCCAAACACACCAGTAAACGTGCAACATCTTGGTTCCAGACCAACAAGATTGACATTATGGAGTGGCCAGCCCCCAATCCCCGGATCTTAATCCAATAGAAAACTTGTGGGGGTGACATCAAAAATGCCGTTTCTGAGACAAAACCATGAAATAGAGAAGAACTGTGGAATGTCGTCCAATCATACTGGGCTGGAATACCTGATCACAGGGGCCAGAAGTTGGGTGACTCCATGCAACACAGATGTACAGCAGTTCTCAGAAACAGTGCGACTACAACCAAATATTCATGAAGTCATTCAAAGGAAAGCAAAATCTTCAAACATTTTTCAGTTTATATAGTGAATGTTGAGTTTGTAAAGAAGAATACAAACACTGCGATTTTTTTGAACCGTCTAATATTCACTTTTCTTCCATTTTTTTTAGAGGAACAACACAAATTTGATCTATTTTTCTTCATGTTTTGATTTGGAATAGAATGTGTTGTGTTCCCAATGCATTTGTGTGGATGGAAATAAAAGCTATTAGAAGGATTTTCAGCTTTATTCACTTTTTTTTCCAACACACTGCTATTATTTTGAACACAACTGTATAGGTAGAATGTTTTTCTCCAGAATCACTTGGGTAATACATTATTTTCAGTGACACAGTCTGTTTCTAACCCGTTTCTGTTGGAAAAAACAGTTCTCTCTTAAATTTAGAGTTTTTTTTACAAGCTGGAGATTAGAAGTCAACTCTTGACATGACACAGGAGTTGTCAGGACAAACAGGTTTTAGGTGTTTTAGGAGCTTGGAAATGGGTTGAAATAATTAACCATGAATGGCAGAACAGGGCCAACACACCAAAATTTGGATATAATACCAGCCAAACTAAGAAGATAGCAAATGAGGGCATTATATCATAGAGATGTGATGATTGCCAGGAACAATGATTACTAACCAGTGGAGTGAGATCTACACTCCCGCCCTCTTAATAGATGCAGTCCTTGGCATGTGACAGACGAAAATCCCAGTCAAAACATAATATTAAATAAACAGTAAAATGTTTCACCACATGTACTTAACAGGTAATTGTCGGCAGGTGGAGGTAATGGGTTGGTGAGCCTCACCATCTTCCACCATATCATCAGCAGGTGGGTTGTGCAGATATGTCTGTGAATTATAGTGGGCACAGTTTAACCTGAGGGGGGAGAAATTATATGAGGCAGAGTTTAACCTTGGGGGGATTATAGTGGGCACAGTTTAACCTGGGGGGGATTATAGTGGGCACAGTTTATTTTGGGGGGAGGAATTATTGTGGGCACAGCTTTACCTAGGGGGGAATTAAAATGGGTACAGTTTAACCTGGGGGATTATAGTGGGCACAGTTTATTTTTCGGGGTGGAATTATAGTGGGCATAGTTTAACCTGGGGGGGATTATAGTGGGCACAGTTTAACCTGGGGGTGGAATTAAAGTGGACACAGTTTAACGTAGGGGGGATTATTTTGGGCACAGTTCAACCTGGAGGGGGAATTATAGTGGACACAGTTTGACCTGGGGGGAAGAATTATAGTGAGTACAGTTCAACCTGGGGGGGGGAAGTATAGTGGGCACTGTCACGTACCTGGTTGGGGAGCCTGACTTGGAGAGGAGGCGTCCTCTTACTACTCCCACTCGGAGCCCCCGATAGTGGGAACAGAGCCAGAAGTGGCACGAGTGCCGAGTGGGTCTAGAGCTGATGGTAGGCAGGTGAAGACCCAGGAGATCCGGATGCAGGCCAGGTGCGGATGCAAGAACGTGGGTGCAGCAGCAGGTACAGTGGGGATCGAACGTTTGGGCACCCCAGCTAAAAATTTGT